AACTTACCCTTCTAAGGTTTGGAAGGTCAAAATTCGCACTTATCTTAAATCCTTACGTGGGAAACTATCGTTTCAAAGCGAATCGACACACTTTTTCCCGTCATAAATCCCAAAAAACACGAAATCACAATCTTCAAATTGAAAGGTACTCGGGGATTTCTTAGTTATTCTCAGTGTTTATGCTTAATATGGATTTATATGCATACTCATAAGCATATCCACACGCTGTTGCCTCTACAGAGGTACCGCTTACATATATATATATATATATATTATATACATCTATATGTAAGATATAATTCCCAGTTGCGTATAACCCTCTCGCTTTTCCCGTTATATTTCTCGTATAACCGCGCCCGTAAAACCTAACACTAAGTAGCCGAGTATCTCTCAGCAAGTGCACTCTTATCAGGATCAAATCACCTAAATATCACTTGATATGTATATGTATAAATATATAAATTAACAATAATGTCAACGTTTAGATTAATTGACGGGCTTAAGAAAAGGGATTTGTTACGGCGATTTTAATCCTTGGTATAACTACTATTGAATTAACACAATAACAGACAGGTTACCATTGTCATGGATTTAACACAGTTGTCTAAATCCCTTCACGGTTATATTAACACCGGATAATACGATAAATAATAATAATAATAATAATAATAATAATAATAATAATAAGATTAACGCGCTAACAACGCGGTGACTGTTAAGAGATATCTAGATCAGTTAAGATATCACTTGATGATTAATACATCAACAGAGCTCTACAAAGCGAACTGAGCTAAACCGTTTTTAATTAAACGGAATCGGTGGTATTAGGTCAGACGATTCGATTCGATTCCCAAGCAAGCTCGTCGAAATCTCAGGCAATCTTCAATTATCATTTTCATACCATTGCGAATTATTATTGGCCCAACTTACCCTTCAGAGGATTTAGAGATCAAAATAGCCCCAGTATATCATATAACATGCATAAAACTGGCTTTAAAGAAAAACAATGCACTTTTTTTAAGAAAAATTCGCAAAAATTGTAAAATCACAGAAATCGGACTTGGACGATTCTTGAAAATTTTGAATTTTTTTTATTGATTATCCATCAGAAGGCTTAGTAACCAGCCCTGCATAAAAATAATTCGCTGTGCGAAAGAATTAGACCAGTGGAATATCAAATTAGCCGGGTTTTGATAGCCTAAGGATACCTTTAGGATGTTAAATGTGTCCAACTTACCCTTTTAAGGTTCGCAAGGTCAAAATTTGCCCTTATCGCAAATCCTTATGTAGAAATCTTGGTTCTCTCTTAATTTAAAACAAAACGGCACACTTTTTTTTAGAAAAAATGCAAAATCACGGAAAACGAATTTGGGCAATTTTCAGAAATTTTGAATTTTTTTATTGTTTATCCATCAGGGGGCTTAGAAATCAGCCCTGCATAAAAATAATTCACTACGCGAATGAATTAAACCGGTAGAATATTAAATTATCCAGATTTTGATAACCTAAGGATACCATTTTGCGTGTTTATAGTGTCCAATTTGCCTCAAACTGACTTTTTGGCCAAAGTAGCGGTTGTAAATCATTTATCCCGTGGAAAACAAAGTTTCTATAGATTGCAAAGCAAATCGGCAGATTTTTTCCCCGAAAAAATCTTAAAAAACACGAAATCACAATTAACGAATTGATGAAACTTATCAATAACTTCTTTTAGGAACCAGGATGCGGTGGATAGGTTACGTGGCCACGATTCTCTGGTGGTCGAGCGTCGTTACCTGTCTAAGCACCTTGAACCGAGGTCACAGCTACAAAATAACTCCAAAGCCGTGTTTAGTGGCTGGAAAAATTCAAGGGACCTGTATGTTTGTATGGGAGTGCATAAAGTCTCAGGGTACTCACCTGGGAGTCTGCGTCGATACCTTCATGTTCGGGAGCTGCTGTGTCCATAACAACCAAACAAACCCATCCCCTCCCACCACTCCATCATCTTCATACTCAACTTCTTCAACTTCGGCGTTTACAATCGCCACCAGACGGCCCAGTAACAGGCCAAAGAGGCCCTCGGAGTTCCAGTTCCCCGCGAGGCTTCCCGATGACGGCAAGAACCAAATGGTCGAGGAAGACCCAACGAGACAGCCGTTTTCCCAGACCAGCCAACCGGATCCGGATCCAGAAGAGAATCTTATTAATGTGAGTACAAACTTTCTAGTCATTGAACTTTTCATTAATTTGTCTTTTTTATTTATTTAGGAGAGAGATCAGATTACTTCCGCTTCTGGGGACTCTATTCGCACTGAAAAGCCTTGGACCAACCCTACCTTCCCTAAAACTGGGAGCTTTGGGTATGATAGGCCTAATTTTGTTTCCAAGCCGGAAACCAAACCAGTCAAAATTTGGACGACGACTCCTAGGTAAGTCTTCTTCACTTTACGGCTTTCCTATTGGTCCAAAAAAAAAATTCCATATAGAAATTTTAAGAAATTTAATTCCCTACAAGTTTTGTTCCAAACTTTTTTTTCTAGGACCAATAACAAAGCCAGAATTTAAATATTAAAAATAACCTTCGGGATGAAGAAAGATTTGACCTTGAAATTTCGAATTGAAATTCTGGCTAAACTATTGAAAATAGAAAAAAATTATAAGAGACATTTTTTATAGGAAATTTTATCCTCTACAACTTTTGTAGGAAAGATTTTTTTCTAGGACTGATATTTTCCCCAGAAATTAATTTTAAAATAAGTACTAATTATTTTTTAGCACGGAAACAGTCCATTGGACAATAACAACAGAGCCAGCGTTTATAACAAAAAATAAACCAACAAGCCGGCCATCAATATGGTCATCATCATGGACGACAACGGGGCATCGACCTTGGCCGAGTGACAGCGACCGGGTTGCTGATGATGAAGACCAAAATCTTCCCTTGACGGATCCGCCGCCCACATATGTAAGACACATAAGAGTTTTTTGTACCTTACTTTCCAATAAACTAGTTAGAAAATAAACGCTTTCTCAAGATAACTAATCCGTTTTCTCCTTCCTATTTAGCACAAGCCACTGTCGCATCCGCCATCATCATCATCATCATCATCATCATCATCATCATCATCATCATCATCATCGATATCTTCTTCCCAGAGCCATTACATCACAACAGCGGACAAACCGACCCGCAGAAAAACCCCTCCTCCGAGAATAGCGACTACTTCGACTTCCGCGCTGCCTTCCTCAACCACAGCGCCATCTACCACTTCAACTTCTTCAACTTCAACCCCGCCCTCTACGACCCGGAAGTACCAGGGCTCAGTTCCGACAGTTTCCGCTGCAGAGAGCCGGCACGGCCAGTGTGGCGTGCCTCCTCTTTTTCCCCGCCCCGAGACTCGAATTGTCGGTGGCAAGGATGCACATTTTGGGAGGTGGCCTTGGCAGGTCAGTGTCAGGAGGACCTCGTTTTTCGGGTTTTCGAGCACTCATCGCTGCGGGGGCGCTGTTTTGAACGAAAACTGGATCGCTACTGCTGGACACTGTGTTGACGAGTGAGTCTTTTTGGGGTTTTGGTACCCTAGCGACCTAGAGCTTTAAATTCTGAAGAAAATGAGTACCCACACTTGATACTTAGTTAAATTAATTGGTCATGAAAATCGCGTTAATAATTTATCAAATGATCTATAGATCATTAATCAAAATTGACCTACGACCAAATGAGTCGTAATACGGCTCATTTTACTCGGGAGTTAGAGTTGATTAATAATTTTTAGTTAGTTTAATTTTAAAAAATTTTATTGATCTATTTATCGCCTTATTAATCATTAACAAAAAAAAAAGTTTTGTTTTTTTTTTAAATTATTAATACAGCGACCTAGATCTTTAAATCCTGATTAAAATGAGTACCTACAACCCTTATTGATTAATATTAATTCCTACCAAAAATCACATTCGTGATTTCCCAAATGATCTATAGATCATTAACCAAGATGGCGCTGTAATCGACCCGTAGCCAAACTATATCATGCGTATACTCATTTTAAAGCTCTCCAACCCCCCTTTTCAAATTTCTCCATCCCAAGTCGCTAAAAAATTTCTACTGACAATTATTTAACATTCTAGCCTGCTGACCTCACAAATCAGGATCCGCGTGGGCGACTACGACTTCTCGAGCGTCCAGGAGCGACTTCCTTATGTAGAGCGCGGAATCGCCAAGAAGGTGGTGCATCCTAAGTACAATTTCTTCACCTACGAGTACGATTTGGCGCTAGTGAGGCTAGAGACCTCGTTAGTATTCGCTCCTCATATATCTCCGATATGTCTTCCGGCGACTGACGACCTTTTAGTGGGAGAAAACGCTACTGTTACCGGCTGGGGGCGTCTTTCTGAAGGTGGTACTCTACCGTCGGTATTGCAGGAAGTCTCAGTACCGATTGTCAGTAATGATAAGTGCAAAAGCATGTTTTTAAGAGCTGGGAGGCATGAATTTATTCCGGATATTTTTCTTTGCGCTGGATATGAAAATGGCGGACAAGATTCTTGCCAGGTAAGACAAAATATTTTTTTTTTATTTTTTATTTTTTTTTTTATTTTTTTTTTTTTTAAAGTAAATATAGTCATGTGGGTACTCAAATGAAAGCTTACAAAATTCTGAACCCAAAAATAATAAAAAAAAATTTTTTAGGGTGATTCTGGGGGACCACTCCAAGTCCGAGGTAAAGACGGCCGATATTTCCTGGCCGGAATAATATCCTGGGGAATCGGCTGCGCCGAAGCAAACCTCCCAGGTGTCTGCACTAGAATATCAAAGTTCGTCCCCTGGATACTTAAAAATGTCACATAAAAATAATTATTTAATTTAATTAATTTAACAGGATAAGGTTTATTTATAAATTTAATAAATATAAATACTCTAGGATATTTATAATTTAAATAATCTTTAATTTTATTTTATATAACGTTGTACACTTATCAATAATATATACCAAAACAATATAAGAAAAAATAGTAATTGATTATATAATCCGCGAGTTGAGCGGGTCGTTGATGCGCCCGGTAATCAAAGACACCGAGGTCTCGGTGTCAATTATGAAAAATACGAACGGACGATTTGCGTTGAAAGGAATTGGCTCAGTCCGAGGATTTCCTGAAATTAAATTATTTTTTTTTTTTAGTTAAGAGGAAATGAAGAATTTCTAGGTTGGGGGGGAGTGGGGGGGAGGTTGACATTTTTATTAAATTACTATGATAGAACTGGAATTTTTATTGCTGGAGAAATGGGTGGCATTGTCGTGGCTGAGATATTTTATCTGACGGCGTTTTTAATTTAATTAAAAAAAATTTTTTTTTAATTAATTTTAAATGTTAATCAAAAAAAAAAAATTTTTTTATGAAAAATTTTGAAAATAAAATTTTTTTAAGAAATTTGGCAAAAACTTGTTTTTTTATAAAATTTGGAAAAATTTCAAAATTTTGAAAAAACATTTTTTTTTCACGAACTTTGAAAAAATTTTGAAAAAAATTTTTTTTTATGAATTTTGGAAATATGTAAAAATTTTGGAAAAACTTTTTTTTTCATAAATTTTAGAAAAACTATTTTTTCTGAGTTTTGGAAAATTTTTGGAAATTTTGAACTTTTGAAAAAAAAAATTTTTTTAAGAAATTTTGACATTTTTTGTTTTCAAAAATCTGAAAAAAAATTAAGTTTTTAACCTTTAAAAAATCAACTTACCTTTCTGAGTATCATTAGCGCCATCTGGTTCAAAGTTCCGAATATTAACCCCAATACTCTGATGAACATCCCTGGCATAAACTCCCAAATCCGGAGTCATAATACTCAAATCAGCCGCCCTGGGTTCAAAGGCGTCAACAATGCCCAATTTCTGTAACCATCCTGTCAAAGTAACAAATCCCTTCAACATAAACGACGGAATGGCGGCCTTGATCCAACATGGCGTCAAAGCCTGCCTGAGCTTCCTCAATTTGACCCTAGAGGTCCTCAGAGTCTTAACCAGAGTCTCTATATCCGAATCAGGGAGTAGAATTACTACTGTATACCTCGGGTCCTGGAACATAAATGAACTTCACTCATCCCCCACTCTAACTATTCAATCCCCACTCCTCTTTCCCCTTCTCTAGATTATAAGTACTTACATCAAGTGGAAATTCCACGGCAGCCGTTCCTAAGGTTGGAAAGTAACAAAATGGAAGCACTGTTGTGTACATTATAGTTGATATTGAAGTTTCATCGACTCCGTCGGTAAAGAAGTTTAGCTTCGAAGATCTAAAGGCGGAGGTGTCAGTATCTAATGATATTCCGTCGGGGTTCAAAGATGGCTGCCAGGGAGTTATAGGTAGCCAGTTTTGGTAGTCTGAGTTTGTTCTTCGGTGTCTTATTGGTTGGAGAGGGGGTAAAGATGATTTAGGTGACTCAGAAGGTTTAGCTGTTGATAAAGAAAATTTGTGGTATGATAAGAAACATTAGTAAGTTGATAAACAAGATTTATTTGCCGGTAAGGAAGATTAGTGCCTTAATTATGAAGATTAGTTCGTCGATAAAGAAGATTATGATGTTAATGAGATATATTAGTGTCTAAATAAGGAATATGGTTGATAATAAATATTAGTGTGATGGTAAGGTAGATTTTAATGTTAAGAAAGAAAATTTATGTGCGACTAAAGAAGATTGTTTTGTCGGTAAGAAAGATTAGTATCTTAAAAATGAATATTAGTGTGTTGATAAAGAAGATTATGATGTTCATAAGATATATTAGCGTCTAGATAAGGAGGATTGTTGATAATAAAAATTGGTGAGATGATAAGGTAGGTAATGATGGCGATAAAGAAGAATTAAATTACTGTAGAGTAGATAAGTGTCTTAATAATAAATATTAGTGTGTTGATAAGGAAAATCAATTTTAATAAAATAAATTAGTGTGCTGATAAGTAACATTGATAATAAAGATTAATATGAGGATAAGGTAGATTATAGTGTCGATAAAGAAGACTTATGTGCTGATAAATAAACTTGATAGGTTAATAAAAAAAATTTACCTGTTGTTAACATCATTTTATCTCCTTCTATTGACAATTTCGCTACATCTGCCGCTAAAGTAGTAACTTCTACCCCCAATCCCCCACTATCTCCTACACCTCTTCGTTTCCTCCCTTCCATTGTCTCATTCTGAGATTCTATCGACGCTACAGTCGGTTCCATCATCACCGAACTTGAATTCTCACTTTCCATCATCACAGTCGTCACCTCGGCTTCCATCCTTACCTCTAAAGTCGGTAAGGAAGTTTGCTCCGTCGGTAACATCGTCGCATTTTCCACTAAACCAGTCAAATTACCTCCTGGAGCATTTTGAGTGTCCAAAACTTCTATTTCTGGGCTAGATGTCGTACTAGTCGTCGTAACTGTTGAATTGACGGCCTCTGTTGAATTTACAGCTTCAGTAGTAGAATTAGGCAGCGTGGGGTTAACTTCGAAGCCATAGAACCTCAGAAGGTCTTCATAATCTTGTCTCAAAGTGACGTCATCGCGGTTCAGCGTCAGCCCGCCGAGAAATGCGTTGGCATTTAAGTAACTCTGTAAAAAAAATCAATAAAATAGCGGATCAGGAGGAAGAGAGGGGTAAGGAAGAAGTACTTACCCTAAGTCGGCGATGGATGTCTCTGAGGCCAATTCTAGTGACCTGTTTGTCCTGCGGAAGGTGTAATACTTGCGCAATCTGGCGCCTGGTGGCGCCAGCTGAAGCTTCATAGAGGGCAGCCAGGACGAATGCCAGCCCAGTAGGGGAAAATGCGACGTTGCCGTGGTGGTGGGGGGAATAGCAGCTTAAAATCTTGACACCCAGGTCATTTATGACGTCAGTCATTATATTTACTGGGGTTTCTTCAATTGGGAAGGAGTGGGGGTAAGATTCACTATTAAGGGTTCCACTTAGGAGAATTAGGACCACGGAACCTAATTTAAGGTTCATTTTGGTGTTAAAATGGTAGATAAATAATGGAGGATAAAAAACGGTGTTAGATCTTCGGAATCTCACAACAGACTGAATTTTAAATACTTAATTTAAGAAATAAGAGAAGGGTATGTTGCCTTGGTGAGAAAAATCACTTATATAATAATAATAAATATAATTATTTATTTGTTTGTTAATTCACACGGTTGAGATACTTCGTCTGTTTAAATAAATAACAATTATAATTAAATTTTTATATACTAGATTGTTTGTTAAGTAATCAGCAATTACTATCTCTTGAGTGATCATTCAAGAAAAGGACGGATTAATTTACGCTCTTTGTTTAACTTTCGGTGTTGTTGGTAGAACTCCGAGAGCAAGGCTATACTGCCTGTTAAATAGCCTGTGAAATTGATTCTTAGAATTAAGATCTAGTTGGAGGAATTGGAAGGAACTTACCGATAAATAAGACGAAAAATATTCCTTGCATGTCGTAAAAATCTACTTGGTGGTTTGAGGTTTCTTGTTTTTCCATTTTGTCATCGGAACACTCGTCACTGGGGTTGGGGAGCCAGTCTTCGAGCCATTTGTTTATTAATCCTGATTCTTGCATTCTTTGTAACCTGGAACCATGTTAGGAACTTGAGGAACCACATTAGGAAGTCTAGGAACTATGATAGGAACTTAAGGAACCGTAATAGGAACTCTAGGAACTTAGGGAACTGAAATGGAACACTAGAAACTGTAATAATACCTGTAGGAACCTTAGGGATTGAAATAAGAACATGAGGAACCATAAGGAGAACTTTAGGAACTCCAGGAACCAAGAGAGGAACATTAGGAACCATAATAAGGGTGATAAGAACTCTGGGAACCATAATAAGAACAATAGGAACACCAGAAACTAAAATAGGGACTTTAAGGGCCATAATAAGAACCATAGGAACCAAAAAAAGGAACACTTTGAACCATAATGAGAACAACAGGAACTCTAGGAACCATAATAAGAACCCTTATGACTTTAATAAAACCTGTGGGAGACATAAAGATGAAAAAAAAACATAAGGAACCATTCTAAGAACCATTGGAACGCCAGGAACCTTTATAGGAACAACAGGAACCATAGTAGAAACAATAGGAACATTAGGAATTAAAAAAAGAACTTCAGGGGCCATAATAAGTACCATAGGAACTTTAGGAACCAAAAAAAGGAACACTTGGAACCATAATGAGAACACTAGGAACTCTAGGAACCATAATAAGAACCCTAAAGATTTTCATAAGACCTTTAGGAGCCATAAAGATGAAATAGGAACATTAAGAACCATTCTAAGAACCATTGGAATGCCAAGAACCTTTGCAGGAACAGCAGGAATCATAGTAAGAATAATAGGAACCTTAGAAACCAGAAAAAAATCATTAGGAACCATAACAAAGACCTTAAGAACTCTTAGAACCATAAAAAGATTCAAAAGGAACTACTCCAAGGGCATTTTGGAACGCAATAAGAACATAAGGAACCATAATATGAGTTCTAGGAACATTGGGAACAATTAGAACCATATCAAGAACCATAGGAACACCAGGAACCCCAAAAATCCCAATAAAACTTACTGATGATCAATAATCCCCAAATAAGGACTCCCCTTAGGAACAGCAAGCGCAATAGGTTCCACAAGTTCCAGAACATTGGTTCCAATAGAAAAGAAGCAGGTTCCAAAGTTAATCTGTTGGTTCCTCTGTGAAATCCTGAGCGCCGTAGTCCAGTCAATCATCACATGCCCCCTGCCCTTGACCTTGTCAACATTATCATTGTAACTAGCAGTCTCATGAAAGCTAGCATGACCATCAAACTCAGGAAGGAGCTGCTGGTACTCGCTGATCTCCAGGAAGTTCTCCAGCAAGCTTCCAGCAGGAATGCTCCAGGTGAACTCTTCCCGCCTAGCTAGCAGGTCATCAACAGTGTTGACAGCTGGGTCCATCCTAGGGAAGGTCAAGAAAGCCACCAGAGTTCCTGAGTAGGTTGCCACGATGATCATCACCACCAACCACCAGGTTCCGACAATCAACCTGGCGCCATCTGTTGACGGAAGATGCATCCCACCTTGCTGGAGCAGAGCTCCGTAGATGTACCAGATGCACCTGGATGGCGATCCTAGACCCAGCATCTCCGTGGAGTCTGGGTTCCTGGTCTGCTCGTCGGCTTTGTGAGGACTCAGAGCGTGGACGAAGTACAGAGCTGGTCCCACCAGGACTATCGACGACGCAAGGCACGCCCAGGCCTGGAAGCAAATCCTGGAGGTCAAAATCCACCTGGAAGAACTTCCTCATCAAGATCAAGGACCTACCTCGTTGGAGAACGGAGATGTGAACAGCAGCGTCCTGGTCATTGCTTTTGGCCTTGGAGCCAGAATCCCGTAGCTCTGGCTGGTGATGACTCTGGTGAAGTTGATGTTCTTCTCGTTGACGTACATGCTGGTTGCGAAGGAACATCCCGCCATCATCACCTTGCTGGTTTTTACCAGGTTTGTTAACTCTGCTGGAACCTTGTCGGCTGCTGACATTGCTGACGTCTTTGGATCCTGAAAGAATTGCTAAAGAGTTATGATGAAGGGGAAGGATAAGGTGAGGTAGACTTACAGTTTTGGCTAGCATTGTTTCTGCTGGGACTTCAATGACGAGGTATTTTATTGTAAAGTTGAGATTCTTGGATATTTCGTTCAGAATGTTGATCATTAAGCCGTCCCAATGGGATTTGGTGTTGAAATGGTCGTCAGTTTCGAGGATTTGGAACTGCCATGGTGGGTTCTGGAAGAAAATGGTTAGAAAAGGTTAAGGAACATCATGGACCAGGTTAGAAGCACAAGGAATATCAAGGATCAGGTTAGGATCGTCCAATACTAGGTTTAGAACATCAAGGACTGGGTTAGGAACAAAAGGAACATCAAGGACCAGGTTAGAAGCACAAGAAATATCAAGGACCAGGTTTAGAACACCAAAAACTAGGTTAGGAACAAGAGGAACATCAAGGACCAGGTTAAGAGCACAAGGAATGTCAAGAACCAGGTTAAAGACATCAAGGATTGGGTTAGGAACCTAAGGAATATCAAGAACAAGGTAAAAGCACAAGTAATATCAAGGACCAGGTTGTAAACACAAGGAACATTAAGGGCTAGGTTAGGAACATCAAAGACCAGGTTCAAAAGGTCAAGGATTAGGTTAGAAGCATAAAGAATATGAAGTACCAGGTTAGGAACATCACAAACCAGGTCTCGAACATCGAGGATTAGGTTAGGAGCATAAGGAACATCATGGACCAGGTTGGGAATGAAAAGAACATCAAGGACTAGGTTGGGAATGAAAGAAACATCAAAAATCAGATTAAAAGCACAAGGAATATCAAGTACTGGGTTAAAAACAGCAAGAACGAGGTTAGAAGCACAAGGAATGTCAAGGACGAAATTTAGAACATCAAAGACCAGGTTTAGAACATCAAAAACTAGGTTAGAAACGAAAGGAACATCAAGGACCAGGTAAGAAGCACAAAGAACACCAAGGACCAGGTTGAAAACATCAAGAATCAAGTTTAGAACCTAAGGAACATCAAGGACCAAGTTAAGAACAAAAGGAACATCAAGGAGCAGGTTACTTACATGGTAAGTAGCAATTTCAAGCTCCTTTCCCAAAAACCCAAACTTAATATGCGGAAAAATTAAACCTAAAGCTTCAAATCCAGGATCAGAAGTCCAAAATCCAGTCTTTTCAAGCTTAAAGCTTGGTTTCTTATTTTTGGACATCAATCTACTGCCCCAGGTAATAGCAGAATCCAAAGACCAGGCCAAGCAGCTGCTACAAGAGCTCCTCCTACCATGAGACCTTGACTCGTTGTACAATTCATTCTGAAAAATCAAACCTTCAATCCTCATCATCATATTCATCACTATCAAAACTTACCCTCATAAAATTGATGATATTCCTACTCCTGACCAACTTGTTGATTCCACTGGCTTCATACTCCTCTTCAGTGACACTCTCATACAGCTTCAGCTCCTGATTCAGGATCTTCTCCAAGGTGACAGCTAAAGCTCCAACCAGCTCCCTAGCATGGCAGAAAGCTCTGGCGGAGCATTGAGTAGCATTTTTCTTGGTAGAATTGTAAAGGAACGCCAGGTTCTCGCCTTCTTCTAGATAATCTAGCAGGTAAGACACGTTACCTTTGTTGTAGTCAGCCATATCCGGGATGACAAACAGCCACTGGCTTCTAGGATGAAGCAGGCCCAAGGATCTAGCCACCTCGATGATCCAACTAACGAATTTGTGACCTACAATCACCAAGAATTTCTGGTCCTGGGCCCTACGGCTTGAGAACTTGGTCAGAAGATCACGAATTGATCTCCTGGTGGCTACTTCTGACCTTCCTCGGGTGAATCCTGACAGAGATTGACACGCAAGACCCAGTTTCTTCGGAAAGTCGCTGGAGAACACCTGGATGACCTTGGAGATCGGCTGGTTGCCATCGTGGATGAAGTTGACCCGGTTCCAGTCCAAACTTTCCTCCAAACGCATGTCGAAGAATATCTGAGGCAGCTCCTCACCAGGATCGATCAGTGGAACTGTTATAGCTTCGTTGATTGGCAGCCGGGGGCAGTCTAGGTCTAATTAAAATTGTCAGGGTCTCTATATTGTAATTTAGATAGCTGCAATGGCTCCAGCGTGAAAAAACGAAAAGTTTGAATACCCACATTGATATATTCGGTGATACTAGCCCAAAGTTTGCACTGCGCATGCGCAAAAAATGCGCGGAAAAATGTGACGTCACATTTTCCCGCGCAAAAGTGGGGATAATCAGAAAAAAACTTTAAACTGCTGTAACTTCGGTTCTAATTGGTCGATCGGGACCGAACAAAGTGCGTTGTCTTCGTTAGGATGTCTAGTTTCTTTTGAAGGGGTTCAATTATTTTTAAAAAAATTTTAAAGGGTCGCTCAAGGTAATTGAAGATTAAGTACAAAGTAATAAAAGTGTATTTTTGGTCCAAATGATCGGATTTGAATGAAAAAAAATTTCTAGGAGCCTTTTTAAGGTAATTTAGGGAGATTGGAGAGGGAATTAATGTGTTAATTACCTGTAATTGCTAAATGCACAAGTTTTTCAGCTCTAGCTCGCTTGAATAACTCCCAAGCAACTTGGCAAGTGGTCACAGACAATAAAATCGTGTAATCTTTAACAAAAGCCGTAAAATAAATGTTGTAATTTTGTAAATTTAAAGTCTTTTGTTCTGTAATTACCTTGCTTGAGATTTATTCCAGTGTCTTGCGATAGATGAATAGATAACCCGCTGATATTCATCCGCTCTCGTGCCACTCTGGTAGCCAGGCTGCTGAACGAAGCAACACTCTTTTCATAGGCTTCCATTGTTAGGCTCGGGGACTCTTTCGTCACCACTTTGCGTACGAAGAACTGCTTCTCGATTACAATTACTGGTAATTAGAATTAAATTAACGAGGGTCTAGGTCTGGATATATTATTTTAAATTTACTCATTGTAGCGTTGGCGACCATTAAGGATGGAAAATCATTGACGCAGGTCCCGGATTTTAGGAAAATTAAGGATATCAGTACTATCAAAGTTAGCTCCATGACTCTGCTAGTACTGACAGCTCAATCGATGCGCCTGAATTTTTTATGCTTCCGGCTTTCAATTATGGATCCAAAGGGGTTGATTAACCGTTGTATTATTCACTTGGTTATCGGGAACGGATTTTATGAAATTGGATATGGATTTATTGAATAATTTAGTTAGTTAAGCTTGTTGCAATCAATTTAGCAGGAATTTTGCCACATCTAGAGGATTACAATTTAGTTCTTGAATTGTACTGTTGCAAAAAAATCACAAAAAAAATGAAAATTTCCGAATAATTAGATTGACATCACAAATTTTAGGATCAGTTGGAAGGATTAAACCTAAGGAACAATGATTGTTCCATTAATGCGTTCCTTTTAACCCCATAATCTTAGTTTGGTTGTTCTTAAAATGGTTCCAAAAAAAATTGTAGTAATTTTTTCGGCATTTTATTTATATTATTCTTGTAGTTACTGTTAAACTTTTTGTAGTTCCCTTTTTCCCATTAATAGAAATTGTTATTTTTGTTGTTCTAGTTGTTATTTTGTTCCTAAGATAGCTTTTAAAGATTTCTGTCGTTATTCTTGTCATTTCGGACTATTAATTTTGTTATTCGCTGTTGTTCCTATTGTTCTTGTTGTTGTTTTTGTTATTCCTACAGTTCCTATAATTTTTTATGTTACTTTTGTTATTCCTATTGTTGTTCCTGACATTCTTATTATTAATTTTATTGTTTCTGTTATTTCTATATAATGTTGATTTTGTTGTTCCTGATGTTGATTTTGATATTAATTTTGTAGTTCCTGTCATTTTTAATATTAATTTTGTTATTTTTATTATTGTTCTTGTTGTTCCTATTAGAAATTTTGTTATTCCTGAAATTTTTTATGTTATTTTGATTGTTCCTTTCATTCTTATTGAGAATTTTGTTGTTCCTGCGAGTTTTAATGTTACTTTCGTTGTTCCTGTTATTGTTATAGCTAATTTTGTAATTTTTGTTGTTCCTATTATTTCTAATGTTATTTTTGTTAATTTTAATGTTATTTCTGTTGTTCCTGTTATTTTTATGGCTAATTTTGTTATTTTTCCGTTGTTCCTGTTATTCCTAATGTTAAATTCATTGTTCTTGTTATTTTTATGGATAATTTTGTTATTTTTGTTGTTCCTGTCATTGTTAATGCTATTTTTGTTATTTTTAATGTTATTTTTGTTGTTCTAATTGTAGTTCCTCTTATTTTTGTCATTTTTTATGTTAATTTCGTCGTTCCTGTTACTTTTATAATGTTATTTTTATGGTTCTTATTCTTGTTCTTGTTATTTCTTATGTTAATTTTGTTATTCTTGTTATCCTTAATGTTATTTCTGTTGTTCCTGTTATTTTTATGGCTAATTTTGTTATTTTTCCGTTGTTCCTGTTATTCCTAATGTTAAATTCATTGTTCTTGTTATTCTTATGGATAATTTTGTTATTTTTGTTGTTCCTGTCATTGCTAATGCTATTTTTGTTATTTTTAATGTTATTTTTGTTGTTCTAATTGTAGTTCCTCTTATTTTTGTCATTTTTTATGTTAATTTCGTCGTTCCTGTTACTTTTATAATGTTATTTTTATGGTTCTTATTCTTGTTCTTGTTATTTCTTATGTTAATTTTGTTATTCTTGTTATCCTTAATGTTATTTCTGTTGTTCTTGTTATTTTAATAGCTAATTTTGTTATTTTCATTGTTCCTGTTATTATTAATATTATTTCTATAATTTTTAATGTTATTTTTGTTGTTCCCATTGCTTGTTATTTATGTGAGTAATTTTGTTATTTTTTGTTATTCCTGTTATTGTTATGGCTTATTTTGTTATTTTATTTCTATAATGTTATTCTTGTTAATTTTAATGTTATTTCTGTTGTTCCTGTTATTTTCATGGCTAATTGTGTTATTTTCATTGTTCCTGTTATTTCTGTAATTTTTGATGTTATTTTTGTTATTACCGTCGTTGTTCCTGTTGTTTTTATAGCTTATTTTGTTATTTTTGTTGTTCTTGTAATTATTTAATGTTCCGATTGTTGTTCCTGTTATTTTTAATGTTAATTTACCCATTAAATCTTCCAGTAATTCCCTAAGCTGATAAAAAATTTTTTTCTTACCCATCGCATCTCTTCCTAACTCTCCAACCTTCCAACAGATGTCAGCACCAAGCAGGCGCCTTTCTCTTAAACAGTTATTACCATCCACATCCACATCTTCCCCGTCACTAGTCACTATTACCATTAACCATTCTTCTCATTCTCGGCATCACTATTATCATTATTACCTTATTTACATATATATGTATATGGTACTGATCCAGAGATGCTGTAGCGGCCCTATTGTCCATCGATCCCATATCGATCCTCGGGTCCTCGGGTTAAATCCTCGGAATATTAAAACAAAAAACAATAATTTAAAAGTGTCAGTGTCGAAATAATTTATAACATGTTCAATTTGGGACTTATACAACCCAATAAAAACAAAAACAATCATAACATTAACTAGCAAGTGTCTCAGGTGAGTTAAATATTTTTTTATTAATTTTATTAAGAATTTATATTTTAATTTAAAGGTCGGGTCATCGACCTAAATTATTCACCTCGCGAAAATTCGACTGCAGCTCGTGAATTTTTTAAATTTGTCCCGTTAATGGGCCAGGGAATTATTTTACCTGAATTAAGGAAAATTTTTTAATAATTTTAGAATTGAGATTGTTGTTATTGTTATTATTATTATTGGTGGAAATTGAAATAGTATTTAGAAGCGTGGATATAGTCGAATCGTAGATAGGGGGGACGCAGTGAAAGTCTTTTGTGTGTGGAGTGTAGATGTACCGGGTCCGTGTAAAGGGAGATGGGATTTTGTCCGAGGAATGCAGTTACCGCGGTTGTGTACCTCAACGTCTTAACTCTTAACTGTTTACGGAGATTAAGTTGGGATGGTTGATTTTTTTTTTTTTTTTTTTTTTTTTTTTTTTAGGATAATCATAATATTTTATGGATTATTAGAATTTTTATTTATATTAGTTAAGATTTTTCAGGGAAAAATTTCAGGTGAAATTTTTCAACCTGAACCTGAGTTTTTTTGTTTGATAATTTTAATTTAATAAAATTGACCTGAACAGGTGAATTTTTTAGGTACAGGTAAAAAATTGAACCTGAACCTGAATTTCCATAGGCGTATATTAGAGAATTTTAATTATCTTAAATTTACCTGAACAGGTAAATTTTTTAGGTTCAGGTGAAATTTTCAACCTGAACCTTGATTTTCATAATTGGTTGTTAAAAATTATTTATTTTGTTAAATTTACCTGAACAGGTAAATTTTTCAGGTGCAAGTGAAATTTGTCAACCTGAACCTGAATTTTACTAATGTAATTTTTTAAGAATTTTAAGTTGATAAAATTTACCTGATCAGGTGAAAATTTCGAAATTGAACCTGAATTTTTCATATTTGTTAAAGAATTTTAATTTAATAAAATTGACCTGAGCAGGTGAAATTTTTCAGGTACAGGTAAAAAATTGAACCTAAACCTGAATTTCCATAGGTGTATATTAGATCATTTTAATTATGTTAAATTTACCTGAACAGGTAAATTTTTTAAGTTCAGGTGAAATTTTCAACCTGAACCTTGATTTTCATAATTGGTTGTTAAAAATTATTTATTTTGTTAAATTTACCTGAACAGGTAAATTTTTTTAGGTGCAGGTGAAATTTTTTTAACCTGAACCTGAATTTTCCAACCTGAAAACCCTGGAAATGTAAAATTAGTCTTCTAGTCAAAATTCAGGTGGAAAATAATGAAAATTAAGCCTCAGGTAAATCAGGTTGTTCTTAAAATGAAGATTACAACTATTTATTGTCTAAAATAAAGCTGCAAATTAATAAAATTAAGTCACAAAATTGAATCATTACCTGAAATCAGGTAAATTAGGCTCTAAAGTCCTAAATTTCCCCTAAAATTCCTTTTTTAACTTTTTAAACCACAAAAATCCACTAAAAATTCATTTTTATACCTTAAAAAACCTTGAGGTTAAATAATACACCCAAAAAAATGATCAAATATAACCCTATCTCTTCAATAGCTTCAAAAAAGCTTAATTTTAGCCTCCCTTAACTCTCAACCAAACAAAACCGGGTTCGAATCCCGGCTGCGGAATTAAACCTCATTTTTTATTTTTTTATCAAGTTAAAAATTATTTTTTATCCTTTTTCTTTATTTTTTTTTATTAAATTAACATTAATAAAATAAAATATTAATATAAATTAACATTAACAAAATAAAATATTAAAATTGATTATTTAATAAATTATAAAAAAAATCATTTAGTAATTTAATTTACAATAAATAAAATAAATTAAAGACAATTGATAGAAAGCACGAGTTTTTTAAACATATCACACTAATTACTCACGACAATTAATGTCTTAGTTAATGACGATGATAATGACCTTCCAGAATAGTTTTGTTAAGATTGTAGTCTTAGCCCGTGAAAGTGCAATAACTTTCCACTTATTGTTCTCCGACTTTCAACTTAAAATTAAAAATCACACATTAAATAAATAAAATAAATAAAATTAATTAATTAATTATTGTTACAGAATATGGAGGCGTATGGACACCCAGAGTTAATAAACTCTCGGCTGTCGCCCCAAAAAATTCAAAGCCAGCCTGAGCCTGGCCACGAAATTCTACGGCCGAAACCTCGCAGGTAAAAATATAATTAAAATAAAAAGTAAAAATTACAATTAAAACTCAGGCTTTTTTTTCTAAACTCCCACGATTATGCTACTGAAGATTCTCATGGACTTTCTTCTATTAATATACCCAGAGGATTTTATTTTTATACATGATATGAGCCTGAAAGAAAAATCCGTCATGCTAGAGAGAAGGTATATATCTTCTATCTGGAAAGATTATAAGCAAGGTTAATTGTGTTACTGTTGTTTTGATGTATGGAATTTAATACTCTGGATTTTATGAATATTTTTAAAATTATAATCACAATTTTTTTTTCAATTTATGAATTTTTAATTTTAATTTTAAGAATTATAATTTTTTTCTAAGCTACATGGAAAGAACAAGATGACACTGGATATCATCCCAAATTATACTCAGTGATATCTGTGGTGAAAAAAATTTCAGATAGTAGCTAAAAAAAAAAATCCAAATTATACTGCGTGATATCTGGATTATACTCATTATAATCTGGGATTATACTCATTGTAATCTGGGATTATACTCGTTATAATCTGGGATTATACTCGTTGTAATCTGGATTATACTAGCTACTATCTGAAATTTTTTTTCGCTCTGTATAATCTGGGATGATATCCAGTGTCATCTTGTTTTTTCCCTGTATCTCTAACTAATTTTCTTTTAAAATTTTCCTAATTTTCCGACCGTTAATTTTTTAATTATTCTGATCTAATAAATAAAATTCATCGAATTTTCCAATGAAAATTCATATTACCAAATTTTTCCCGCCCTTTTTTAAAAAAATCAAAAATTCCCACGCAAGAACAAACGGATAAGGGAGGAGTAATTTTATTTATGATAAAACTGTTATGATGATATGACAAAAGATAATGACACTCATAAAACAACAATCTAGAATCGAGAATAGAGTAGAGTATCCTACACACATGTCACGTGTGTATAAGTGTATCAAAGAACAGTGGTAACCATTTCCTGCCCCCACCACTTTTCCGGAGGAAATCGTTTCACCTGGTACAGCGGAAACCACCGACACGCAGTGTTGCTTCAGTCACATGTGTTACCATCAGACTGATAAGTCGCATCATCGGAGTCAAGATATTTGATCTTTATATCATGTTTTAAATCATTAATTATTTATTATCATAAAATTATCAATTATCAATTATCAATTATCAATTATCAATTATCAATCATCAATCATCAATCATCATAAAATCATCAATCATAAAAAAATCTACAAGTCACCAATCATGTTTGACATCCTAAAAAAAGACAACTGCCAACTGAACTGCAAATGTGAACTCTGCCGAGAATTATCCAGTCCAGGGTCCAGTCCTAGGTCTGACTACTGTTCATCACCAACAGCGGAAATCTCGAAGGTCTTCCGGCCAATGGACAGCACCAATTTTATCCTCAGGCGGGCCATGCCCTTTGTCAGTCGGGCACCTTCCAAGGAGTGGCAGGAAGCTACCATGGTGGATGACTACGGGACCATGTCCACGCTTGAGGACACCACCAAACTGCTCGATCTCGGGCTGACTAGTACTAATAGTAGTCCCTCGTCAGTCGGAGGAAGGATTATGGACGGTGACTATGGTAAATTCACGCCGAGCAGACCCGCGCCGCCGAAACCTGATCAGGACCCGAATAAAATTGTGATTCATTGCGGGGAAAATTCGCAGGAGGAAATTGTGGTACATGTCAGTCCTAGTAGGGAAGATGTGCTGAAGATTGAAGAGGACGAAACTAGGATTGAAGATTACTGGTCTTTGCCGGGGGATACTACTGGGTTCAAGGCTGATTGGAGTTTTGTGCAGCAGTGGCGGCTTCGTGGGTAATTTTTGAGTGGGCGGAATTTTGTAAAATTTTTCTTTGTGGTTTTGAGTTTGTTGGGGGGATTTGAGTGTTTTAAGTACTCACATTGATGTGTTTTGATGGCGGGAAGTTTGAGAAATTTGAAGTTGAAGTTGAAATTTTTGAAAAATTTTTTTTTTGGATTTTTGGGGTCTTTGTGAGATACTGAGTGATTTAAGTACTCGCATCAATGTGTTTTGACCGCTAGAAATGAAAGAAATTTGAACTTCAAAATTTTAACAAAATTTTTGAAAAAATTTTTTTTTACTTTTGGGTTCCTTTTGATATCTCAAGTAATTTAAGTACTCGCATCAATATGTTTAGACAATTAGAACCTCGAGAAAATTCAAAAAGTTCAAAAATCCAAATTTCAACAAAATTTTAAAAAAAATTTTTTTTGCATTTTTAAGTTCTCTATGACATCCTAAGTAATTTAAGTACTCACATGACTATGCTCAGCCGACTAAAACCCTTTCAAAATCTCCTTTTCCAGACCGAGTGGTGCGAAGGATGTCTACTGCCCTCCATACGGCAAGGACAGCCCCGAATCGGCTCGGCTCGAGTCAGACCACCCGCACCACCACCACAGCTCGCACTTACGCCGCCCAGAATGCACGGGGAACAGTTCCTCCGACGAGAACCGTTCCTCTGGCCACGCGAGTATGTCAGACACCGGCGGTCACAGCAGCAGCTCGCCCTACCGAGCGCGAGAGCAACTAAACTCCGTCCCCGAAGACGATAGATTCTCTGCCTCAGTGACCCAGCGGCGAAACCGCGGCCCGAGCCGCAACAGACACCGAGCCACCCCAGCGAAGGTAAGTCACTTCCCCCCTCCACCTTCACTCCCTAACTTAAATTCCAGTTGCAGGTTCCGTGGAACGGTTCCGGCTTGGAGGATATAAAACTCGCCATCCAGCAGCTGACGATGCGTTCCCACACTTCAACTTCAACCTACTCATCGCTCAGCGGCTCAGAAAGCTCCGAGCCAGCAGTCCGGCGGCTGATGCGGCACTCCAGCCTGGAGACGATCAACACCAACGTGACCAGTGCGGACGAATTCGTCTGGGTGGACTCCCACAACCGCCTAGTCGAGCTGCAGAGCCTCCCCTGGAGCCACCACGACGTCCTCCGAGTCCTCCAGACCGGCCGCGCACGAGAACACATGGACCTAGTCTCCATGGACACCATCCCCAGGCTGTCCTACCTCCTCCAACGCGCCCTAGTCCGTGTGGCCCGCGAAATCCAGCGCCTGGCCCGCCCTCTGGGGCTCTGCAGCAAGCACGAGGTCGCCAGCGCCCTCAAAATTGTCCTCTGCCCCGCCCTAGCGGACTCCTGCATCAAAGCATGCCTCAGAGCAGCCGCCATGTTCGCAGTTTCCGGAGACCAGCTGCGCCAATCAAAATCCTCCCGATCAGGCCTGACTCTTCCAGTCGGGAGGTTCCTCAGGTGGATGTCAGACGTGCGGCTCGGCAAGATGGTCCACGAGTATGCGGCTATCTACCTAGCCGCAGGGATGGAGAACCTCCTGGAGGAGATCCTCCTCCAGTGTCTTCCTCCAGACGCAGTAACTCTAACAGCCACCATGCTGGAGCACGCAATCGCCAACAACGGCGACCTCTGGGGCCTGCTTCAGCCCTACGCGCACTTAAACGCTGGCCGTACGGCTTCAGGGGCTCTAGCCATGCCCAGGTGGGCCTCAGTCAGCAGTCTCAACTCCTCCACCTCCAAAGGAAGCCGAGATCTAGGAAACATTGAGCCCTCCTTGCTCACCACCTGCGTAGGGTCATTATCCGAGCTTCTAGAACTCATCTCCAAGCTGACCCACGCCGGAAAGTGCCCCACCCCCTTGACCTCCAAGGCCCTCAATGCCCTCTTCTACTACATGCGCTGCTCCCAATTAGAGCACGGAGACAAAAGCGCGGGAATTCAAGAACTAGCTTACGAGAGGGCGTATGTAGTCCTGCCCCCTCTTGTTGAGTGGCTGAGAGTCTCTGCGGCTCACTCGGAGTACCGCCATGGGGGCGTGGTCGACCACGATGACGTCAACCAAGCAGCCAGGCTCCTCCTCCCGGGCGTTGACTGCCCCGTAAGGCCGCTTTGCTTTGAAGAAGTCAGCTGCCGTAGGGCCGACGATGAGTTTGTCAAACGCTTAACCCTGGACATGGCCTTTAAAATGCTGACCAGTGGCCGCAGGGATTTGGTCAGCCAGGCGCTGCCCCTGCTGCCCCCCACTAAAATCAACACAGTCAACGATTCCGGCCTTACGGCGCTTATGCTCGCCTGCATAGCCAATAACGAAGCCGCTGCGACGACCTTATTGGACGCGGGGGCGGATCCTAACATCGAAAGCCCCGCCCCTGGAGCCACGCCCCTTAAATCCGCCCCTAAGAGTCAAAGTAACGCAGAAACTCAGCACTGGACAGCGCTGACCTACGTTTCTTTGTTGGGCCACTGTCAAATCGCCAGGATTTTATTAGAGAGGGGCGCTAAGGTCGAGGGCGGGGCCAGGGTGGGGGAGGACAAGTGTACTGTCACGCCCCTCCAAGCCGCTACGGCTACAGGGTGCCATGAAATGGTCGCGCTGCTACTGGCTCATGGCGCGCAGCCTTTTTTATCGACTATTGTCAAAGACGGGTTCAGTTACTCCGGTGCGGCTCAGCGCGGCTGCTACAGCGCCATCTGTGTGGCCACGGCCCACGGCCAGAGGGCGTGTCTTCACCAGCTGCTGTCCCACCCACTGAACTTCTCCAGGAAGGACAAGGAGGTGCTAAGCTTGGAGGAAATCCTCGCAGAGGGCAGCACTGAGCCGCTGGCCAAAACCAAGGACCCGGTGTTTAATAAGGTCCAGAGCAAGGCCCTCCAGGAGGCGATGTACCACAGTGCGGAGAGCAACCACCTGGAGATCACCATGGAGTTAAGAGGCCTAGGTGTCGCTTGGACTCTCCACTGCTGGATGGCCAGTTTAGCTACTGCCCATGAGATGAAGATCGACACCGTCATTGATCAGCTCCTCCAGGACTTCCTTCAGGTCTGCCCTGATGATTACTCCTCCCAGTTTGTTCAGGAGTGTCTGCCATTGTTGTTCAACATCTTCCGGTACAATAAGGTAGGTTTTTTTATTTTTTTGAGTGAATTTTGGAGTTAAGTATCACCTTTTTTCAGAAGGAGGCAACTACGCTCCTCCTAGCGGACATTTTTTGCAACTGCTACGGCTGGGAGCCGATAAAGAAGATCCGGGATACGACTGTACCGACCGGGTCGAGGATAGATCCCAAGTTTGTGAACAATCCTGAACTTAGTGATGTTCAGTTCCGTGTAGAGGGCCGCGTTTTTTACGGGCACAAGATTGTGCTCATAACCTCCTCACCCAGGTTCAGGAATATGCTCAGTTCTAAACTTTGCGAAGGAAATCCTCCTATTGTGCAGATTAATGATATAAGATATCATATTTTTCAGGCAAGTCTTATAATTCTTACTCTTGTTAAATTGCACTGTATTTTCTTTAATATTGACATTTTTTAAGATATAAGCTCATTTTGATGTTACACTCATCAAGAGCTTTCATTTGAGTACCCACATGCACTTTTGATATATTTTTCATATATACATATATATAATAT